CTCACTATGCATTGGATCGTGTTTTCAATATTCCTTGCCATTGAGACAGTCACTGATTACGTCCTCGCTTGGTAGATTATAACTTGCCGCACGAACTGTTAGGTTTCCATTCTACTATGAACTGAAAGTGTTCCTGGTGCTCTATCTTGCCCTCCCATTCACCCAGGGTTCCAGTATTATCTACAGAAAAGTTATTCATCCCCATTTATCCAAAAGGGAGACGGTATTTTATTTTAATAATTCTTATGAATGCACAGGAAATTGACGAGGCGCTCTTACGCGCAACAGAAACAGGGTACAGTGCATTTATGGAATTCGGGGCCAAAGGTCTTACGTACGCTGCTTCTACGGTCCTGACAACCGCCATGAAGGTAAATTACACAACATAGGTGTTGCGTATTTATTTGTCGTGGTTTTATCCCTTTCTGTTTTCTGCGTAGCAAATTGCATCCATAAAATGGCCATTAAAAATTTCCCTCGGAATTTTACCAATCTACGCACTTTTGAATGTTAACCCTCTCTGTGAGATCCCTCAGAATTGCAAGAGCGCATTATGCCCTGGGTATTTTAGACTTGCCATCGAGCGTCTTCTCTAGTCTTCGATTACGCTGACTATACTTTCACTCACCTCAAACCGTATAACGCGTGTTAAGCTGACGTATTTAGCCATCGCAAGTTTTAGACTTCAGCCATTTAAAATTCAGTCTTCTAATGAAATTTTTTTATTCCAGGGACAGGACCTAATTGTCAACCACATTAATCAGCGCAGCTACAGTATGGATGATCTTTGGCGTGACCGGCGACCCACTGAACCACTGGCTGCTGGGGATTCTGCCCCTGAACAAAAGAAGCGTAAGCTCAAAATTTAATATTTCTTGAAAACTGTCTGCACTTGTTGTGACCGAAGACAGTTAATGCGCTAGGTATTTTACTGTAAACTTTTTTTGTGAAGTCAGCCTACTTCGAATCCATATAGGTCGTCTGCCTTATTATGTTGAATGTTGTACAAGGGCTGACTATTTTCTGCCTCGTTTTTTCCTTCCCTGCAAACTTCTGAAAGTTTTTCATATAGTCTTATCGCGATGCGTTCTCTGTTTGTGACGCAGCAGTATATATTAAAATGCTGCTTTTGGTGAATTTTTATCTTCATTTTAATTTTAAAGTGTGTAAGAAGAGTCTGGAAAAGAGGGCCATCACCCCAGGATTTATGTTGATCAGATAGAGGTCATGCACCTTGTGAATATTTTAGACTCAGTTCCATGAGTATTCGGCCAGCCGATTTCTTCAGATCGGCTATTACTTTCGCGCTAACGTTTTCCAGATTTTACGGTTACACTGTTGAAGTCACATACTACATTACCAGTGTAGTTGCTTTCCTCTACGTAGCCTAGCATCTTTTATGAAACAGAGACCTTTATAAAGGCGTCTTTCTGCAGGTAATGTATGTAAAAGCCCACACGTTACACTGGCCATAACATCATGTGGCATATTGCGTCGGTCCGACTACTAAACTACTTTCCCCTTTTACCACACTGCTACCTGTGCCTCAACCTGAGAATCTGAGTAGTGTCGTAGCGAAAGCACACATGTTCCACACAAAATGAAAGTACCTTTTTCAGAAACCCGTCAAAACTAGTGTCGTGCTAATACTACTCTAACACTCGTTCACCCCCTACCCTCTCACCCTCGTTGATTAACGTTCATCCCTACCTTCTTACACTCGTTCATTAACGTTCACCCCTGCCTCCTAACGAACGCTTGCTTATTGTATACATTATTCTAACCACTCTTCATCCCTTTCTAGTTCTTGTACGGTAATTATAAGATGAGTAAAGCCCAATTCTAGGGTACTCGATTCTCCATTCTCCTCGACTGTTTAGCTTGTGCCTACTGAATAACACGACTATATTCCAATCACTACAGCTAGTTATCAAAAGAACATTGAAAAATAAAATGGCAGTGGATGGGTAGCTTTTAAATGTGGTGTCCATTCATCCACCGTGACCCAACGGCTTATCCCAAAGCTTAATTTTCCGTCATCGTTCATGGTTAAGGCGGTCGCGATTTATGGCTATCAATACGTAATGGTTTGCGAATTACTTGGTTCAGCTTGAGCCTTCACCCCCATTAGGCTTTATAGAATCGATTAGAGGGGGAAAAAATATCTGTTTGCCGTTGTGTCGCAACCACCATTAGGCAGCTACCTTATTACTTTGGGCGAATAACCAAGTAATCGACATTTTCTTGTTCTTTCCCCAAAATAACCAGCCGATACCTTTGTTGCAGCCGCCTTCCCCTGCCCGATTACTTCCATCATTACTTGAGATTACTTACATCATTTTAACTGATTATGATATGAAATGTGCATCACAAGGATAAATAACGTAACCTACCTACGGCTTATATCATTTTCTAGCTGTTTGATTTTCCCGACACCGACAAAGTTCACTTATCCATTTTTTTGGAATCCGAGAGACATAACGATGTGGTGTTCCAAAAGGTAGCGGGCCATCTATTGTTGAAACTTGCATTCTCATGAATCCGACAGTTTTATTGGCCTGATGTCATCATCGAAACGTTTTTCAATCACTTGCCTTTCGACGTCGCACCCATGGGCAGCGTGCTACGCACTTGAAGATAGATTTGTTTACAGACTCACTAAATTATTGTACTGTTGTGCTACAGTGACATTGCATACCGACTCGAAAGAGGAGCCTTTTTAAATAGTTAAACAACAGAGGAATTTATTCCTTAAGTAGTCCTTAAGTAAAGACGTGCTGGATTTTCCCCCGTTTGCTGCTTAGCTCTGCGGCCGCTACACAGTGTCCTTCACAATAAAACTCGTTCCTACCTTAGGTAATAGTTCAGATGATCAGACGTCTAGACCAAAAGTATCTGAGAAAATTGTTCCACGATGACGTATACTTACGAAATATAGGGGACCTCGAGGTCTGTGATGTTGCTCTTGTCTGATGGGCGCCGAGGTGAACATTTATGAATTTGCTCTGTGGGGCGCATGGGCCAATAACAAGTAAGGCACTCTCCGCCCCGCTAAACACAGTTTCGACAGGGTGTTCGCTGTGTGATCAGTTCAGATACGAAGGCATTGTTTTCACCTAAGGGGGTCGTATTTTTCTTTGAAGTCGCTACCGCAGTCGAAAGAAAGTACCTGAAAGCTCACGGAAACCGATGCCCCAAAGCTCTTAAACTCGATCAAGGCCTCAATCAACTCATACAAACGTGGTTGAGTGAGATAAAAAGAAAGGTAATTTTTCGAAAACGCTGCCGTCTGTCCAGGCCGTGTATTTTTGTCAGTCCTATTTAACTATGCGGTAGATTCGGTGCTGCCCATAGCACCCAGCAGTTACATTTTAATTATGCCTACAACACAAATATTTTTTGAATTTATTTCGGAAAATAGAATCAGCCCTTGATCGTATACTCGTCGCGGAAGAATCCAAGTACTGCTTGACAAGTTCACACCATGAAACATTAAGTTTTCTTTCGGGTACCGAGAGGCGCGAGGCGTCTTCCTGGTTCCTGCGAGTTTTCGGTGCATCTAACGGTCACAAACAAGTCCCACCTGTTCTGTTGACGGCGGAATTGCCCGTAGTCTCGTGTTTCTTTTTAGAATAGAAAGATTATGGGTTTTGTTAATTGTCGCTTCCGGGCTTCCAATTGACCGGGCACCCCTGCCACTGGTCCAGCGAAGAGTCGTGGTAAGATGTGTCGACTGCACACTCCGTCGTTGGAAGGTTCTTTTACTACTCCGCCCTCCGAATCACTTTCTGCTTTGGTTTCTCTACCTTCGTGATAGCCTACCGAGAATTCAGACCTGCTGAGTTCCACGGTCTTCAGTGTCCGGACTGGAAAGTTAATTGATAAAGAAGGTAACTAAGGTCGGCTTTTGTGATCGCAGGTATGTGGACGGCACCGGTTCTTGACGTTCATAACTCCGTAACCAATTATGCAACCATTGGCGATTTCTGGTGCAGATGAGGCTTGCCTCCTTGCCCCTTGTTTAAGGTAGTGAGTCTTTTCATACAGAATTCGTGGTCAGCAAAGAAGTCCTCCCTACCTAACGTGCAGATTGAATGTGAACTACTTATAATTTCCCAATCTTCCAAGGTGTACTTTATGTCCTTTTTTAAACTGTACTTGTTACGGTGGAATTCACGTGACGCTAACCCCTCCCCCCTATGCGCTCACTTTAGATGCATATTCTGAAGGTGTCTTTCTACTAAGTCATTCTTGCAATCAATTGTCAACAGTTTCTTGCTCAAATGATTATAGCACTCTCTTCTTGCCTTTACACACTGCTCCTCCTTACTTTCACTTTTTACCGTAGACGCCCTTTCTATCCAAGGCCTCGCGTCAGTTTGGCTTTCACATATTTTCACATTGTCTAGTAGGCCTGCCCTACTAAGCGTCACGTAGACTCAGCAAGCCATCACCCTCAAGCCGTCAATGTGATGCTCCCTAATTACATGCGTTTGCGCACGTGGCGGGTGGTTACACCTCGACGTCATTACTTGCGTGTATGTACATGAGCCGGTATGCTGTAAACTCCCTCGCGTCTTCTACTTATCACTGTTTTGAGCTTCATACATTCACAAATTTAACGGGGTAGTCCGATTTGTGCGGTATCTTCTGCCTGCCTGCCTACTTTGGAGTCGTGGTATGCGAAATTACATAAGAGTCTGATAGCTGGAGCAATCCCTCGGAAGAGCTAGGTCTAAACTTGTCCCAGTTTCGATTGTGGAATATCTCTAGATCTTATCACTAGTCTGTCCTTTACCACTACACAAGTATATCTTCGGCAGGCTGAAGAGGCAATCATCAAATCCACGCTGTTTATTTCAGATGTATATCGTAGTGGGTGGGAGGAGTCTGGGGGACCATTTAATGACAGAGTCTTTGTGCTCAAGTATTTGTCGAATTCCGTTTGAGTTTTTGACTACTTAGCTTGGAGTTTCCGTAAGCGCGGTATCCTCACAATTTTTTTCACATAACCGGATTGCGTAGCCGTTTTTTCGTTGTTAACTGGACTCAACGGCGAGGTCTTAGATAGCCTGTCCATATTGCCTAATTTTATGCCGACCATGCCCCCGGGGAGAACGGTTTCCCCGCCAGCTTACCTCTAGGGTATTTAGCGCGTTCACAGATGACCTCTAATGGAACGGCCTTCAGTGGAGGCTAGCTGTGAAATACACAGGCTCCCTAATCTGACGAATGAGCAGCCGCAGACCGGCAACGACGGTGGCATCAGAGCGCAGAGGGCTGAC